TTTGGGGTCTATTTTACTGGGCAAAATGGGAGGGAATCTAGGGTCAGGAGTCAGTCTCTGGGATTTATCTTACTGAAGCAGATGAAGGGCCTGGGGTCAGTGGTTGGTATCTGGAAAGGATTTTTTTATGGAAGGGTTCATGCTTTGGCCTCTTCCCAGACTGACTTTCTAGATTTGATGAAAACCACTTCCCCAGGGTTTGTTTTATCCTGGCTAAGAATGTACTGGGAAAGGATCAATGCTCTCAATGTATGGCTTTCCTTCTCACCCCACTTTTCCTAGGTCTCACTATTTTGGGGGTTTCTCATTTTCCATATATAATACACCAGACACTTCACTAGCAGAATCACCTCCATCACAAGAGCATGGAGTCATCCGTGGGCATTTAAAAGAAAAAAAATAGTTACTTTAATATAACTTAACATGTACACCAGTTTTATCCACTCCAAGAATATGTAAGACTGGAGGCTACAGAAGAGAGATTCCTAGGAAGGAGTGCCTGATAACTATCAAGAGAAACTGCCAGTCAGAAGTTTAAGGCCGGGGCTGGGGATGTGGCTCAAGCGGTAGCATGCTCGCCTGGCATGCGTGCGGCACGGGTTCGATTCTCAGCACCACATACCAACAAAGATGTTGTGTCCGCCGAGAACTAAAAAATAAATATTAAAAATTCTCTCTCTCTCTCTCTCCTCTCTCACTCTCTCTTTAAAAAAAAAAAAAAGAAGAAGTTTAAGGCCTACAGATGTGCCTAACCTCCTACATAGGTAGGCTTATTCAATGTTTACTAGTATGATTATCTTGTCCTAAGTAAAAGAAATAAAGGAAATCATAATAAAAATTTATCTACAAAAATCAGATGACATTAACATGTTAAATGTTATGTTTACAATTCTAATAACTCTGGCAATTTTAAAGATGTACATTCCCAAATAAAGGCCTTATCCTCTCCAGCCTTATTATAGAAACCATTTCTCAATTCTTACACCTCCTGGTGAGAGATTATTGACTTCTATCATTTTCATGATATTCACTGACATGTTCCAGATGCTTTAACATTTACTTTGCATTAACCTTATTTCAATACTCAGGTCTTTTCGTTTCTCTCTCATAGAAACACCTACCCCCAAATGACTGTAAAATGTTCTTCCCAAACCAGAGTTTTGCCACAAACCCTCAACCAACCTGATTCCCAAAAGGAACTCCAAATAGATTGCCCCATGCCATTTCACCCCCTCAGGTAGAACCAGCAAGAGTGGTCATCACCATTTTCCTTACAGCATTAAGGAGGCCCTAAAGCTAGAGTGGGGCAGGATGCAAGAATTGAAGACAGGCAGTGAGTAGATAGGTAAAAGGGTCAGATCTTGAAGATGGAGACTGCCACTGAAAGACTGAAATGTTAATGCCTCCAAGAGTCCTTAGATGATCCAGATTACATGCCTATATTGATACTCCCAGAAGGCTGTTGCACACCTAGAACAGAGAGGAGCTGTTAATGAATGCCCGCAGAGCTGCTTTCAGCCTGGACCCGCCATTTGGCCCTTCCTGCTTCCCATCTGCTTCTCACCTTTTGGCCATCCCACCAGGCATCTCCTGGGACCAGTCACATACAAAAGAAGGAGAGAGATAAGGGGGACTAGGGCAGAAAAACAAAGAAAATCTAAAATGTGTAAAAGGGGCAAGACACGCCCACTTCCTGGGGTAAAAGAACACCAGCTCTGGGCCACTTCAGTGCACTTCTCTAATGTTCAAACATAAACTTTTGAGGAAGCAGAACTCATCACTGATAACGAGTGGTATCAGTAATTTAAAAAAATCTTTCAATAAAGAAAGCCCATGGTGGGGTTGTGGCTCAGAGGCAGAGCACTCCCATGCATGAGGCACTGGGTTTGATCCTCAGTACCACATAAAAATAAAATAAAGATATTAAAAAAAAAAAAAGAAAAAAGCCAGTGACTGCATGGATTCTCAGCCAAATTCTACCAGACATTTAAAGAACTAATATCAATGCTCCTCAAATTATTCCATAAAACAGAAAGAGATGGAATACTTCCAAATTCTTTCTATGAAGTTAGTATCATACTCATACCAAAAAAATATAAAGGATACATTAAGCAAATTATAGATCAATATACCTAAGGAACTTAGATAAAAATCCATCAAATAAATAGAAAGAAATTGCATTCAACATATTAAAAAAATTGTGCAAAATGACAAATTGGTTTTATCCCCAGGGTAGCAAGGATGTTTTAACCCATGCAAATCAATAAAAGCAATTCATCACAAAAATAAAATTAAGGCAAAAAAAAATCAGTTATCTCAACATACACAGAGGTAGCCTTGGACAACATCCAGCCCCCATACATGACAAAACACTGAAAAATGTGGGGACATCATAAGGCCATGTAGAATGAACCTCACCAACGTCACAGTGAACGGAGGGACACTGGAACAGAGTCCACACTAACGTTCTTATCAACGTGGTCCCAGAAATGCCGCCAGAATAGTGAAGCAAGAGGAGGAAACCAGCAAGAGCAGGAGAGGAAGGAGCCAACCATCACTGCTTGTAAATGATGTGACCTTTCTATTTAATTTTCTTAGTTATCAATGGATCTTTATTTTATTTAGTTTTGTGTGGTGCCAAGAGTTGAACCCAGTGCCTCACACATGCGAGGCAAGCACTCTGCCACTGTGTAACAGCTCCAGCCCATGATATGGTCAACCATCTGCTTGACACAAAACCTTTAACCCACATTTTGAAGATGAAGAAATGGCACTCAAATTATTTTTTATATTTATTTTTTAGTTGTAGTTGGATACAATGCCTTTATTTTATTTATTTATTTTTATGTGACGCTGAGGATCGAACCCAGGGCCTTGTACATGCTAGGCAAGTGCTCTACCACTGAGCCACAACCCCAGCCTTGGCACTCAAATTATTGATCAGCTAGGTCTTCCCCAGTGTTGATGTGAGGGGTTTACATTCACGGCATGGGGCTATACATACTCAATTTACACTGGAGATAGCACAAGAAAAATGTTTCCCCAAGGGAACTATATCTGCTCAAACACAAATGAACTTATAAGTGGTGCTTCCCAGCCTGGTCTCACCTTGACTGAAGCCTCCTAAGATCCTAAGCCAGGAACCCATCTGAGCCACCTCTAGACTAGAATCTCAGAAACTGTAACATGAAGAACAGTGGCTATTTCTTTTGCAATAGAAACCAAATGCTGCAGGGCATGGTGGTGCACACCTCAGCATCTCAGCGAGACCCTGTCTCTGAGTAAAATACAAAAAGAGCTGGGGATGTGGCTCTGTGGTTAGTTGTAACTGGGTTTAATCCCTGCTGCCAAAAAAACTGAATACTCTGCATAAATGTCTCCAAAAAAAGAGGGGCTCCTGGGTTGGCTACTGATGGCCCTTCACACCACCACACTGCCTCAACAGCTCTCCAGTCTCCACCTCAAGGGCTGGAATGTGCAAGCAGGGGGCACACCTAGTAACCAATGTCCTGCTGCTGTCTCTTCCACATTCCCCTTCCACCTTGAGAGGGCTTTTCCAGACAAGCCACAGACCCCTACCAATCATGCTCAGTCCAAATAGTTATAAAAGAAAGAATGATCTTGGCTAATACAAAGTTTAACCCAGTAACTCTGAGTATCTCATGTGTAGAAGTGGGTAAGCTAAGAAAACACTTTGCCAGAAAGTTGAAGATGGTTCTCACGAAGCCGAACACGTCTGTCATTGCCACCTGCCACTGCCACCTGCCACTTGTAACAGTTACTCTGTAGATCAGTCATTGCCATCACTCTCACAGCCAGGTGACTCAGTACTCACCAAGTGCCAGGCAGTGCTCAAAGCTCTGCAGCATCCAGCAGGTGCCTCACTTCAATCCTGGAGGCAAGTCCTATTAGCACTCCCCATCCACTTATGAAGCAAGGGCAATCAACAGAGGGAAGAGTCACTATCCCCCAACGGAAATGCACATAGGGCACATCACTGCAAACGAAGACCCCTCGATCACACAGCTCCTTAGCACACACTCATTTCTGCCATTAACAGAGGGAAACTTTCCTTCCAGACTGCTTTACACGGAGTAGGAAAGTCAGGGCATTGCTCACATCTGTTTAATCAGACTTAAGACATTAACAACATGCCCGACTCAAACATTTCTGTGCATTTGCTTGTATTAAAAACCTACTGGTTTGGGCTGGGGTTGTGGCTCAGTGGTAGAGTGCTCACCTAGCATGCATGAGGCATTGGGTTCGATCCTCAGCACCACATAAAAAAAAATTGTGTCCATCTAAAATTAAAAAAAAAAAAAACCCCTACTGGCTGACTCTGAAAGATGCGAACTTCAGAAAGAAGTTATCTTTGCCAATCAAAAATCAGATTAGTAATATTATTTACACAAATTTTAAAATAGAAAAGTAGGGGGGGAAGTATGCACAATGACACTTTACACTTTATGTATTCAGGAATAAAGAAGCTAGAGCAGTATTCAGTTGGAGTATCTCAATGAGTCACATTATGGCAGGTGTACACATACATCTCCACCATGGGTTTCCGGTCAGAGAACGTGGTAATGCTGAATGCTCATGCACAAACCCTCCACCTGGAGGAGCTGCTCTGTGCAGAGGCTGGTCCTATGAACTCCAGTTACAACAACCCCAAGTTCCTGCAGATACAGTCAAATACCTGCTGACAGGCCACATCACCACTCACATCACTACTGGCCAATGGTCCAATATTTCAACTAGCACTGTGATACTATATGCAACCTATTTGAAAATTTACATCCTTATTACATAAATCAGTTGCTTTCCCTTTACAAAAAATTCTGGTATATGAAAAAGCTGAAAGTTATGTTCAAAGCTTTGACACAATAAAGATATTATAAAAATTTACTTCATTCTCCATGTTCTGCCTGAAAAGGTGTTCCCAATTTGTGGCATTATTGCTCTGATTTTCTGGTAAACTGAACAAGGAATAAAAGATGATGACAGGTTTCTGTGTGAATTTCATAACAAGGGCTGAAAAACTTCTCTCAAAAGCTTGTACAGGGAATGTGCCTCAGTGGGTTGTAATGCAAACAGATCACACAAAAAATGGCTCAACAGAGGAGGATTTATTTCTCACTCCTATGAGGTATAAATGGAGGCTTGGAAAGAGAGAGGAGAAGCCATCTGATTTCTTCAGGCAACTCCTTCTCTCTTGGTCACAGTCACCTTCTCTAACAAGATTTCTCAGGGCCACTCTGGGTATCATGGGACTCAAGAACTCAGGCAGCGTCACAGGGAATGTCTGTTATCTGACCCGGAAGCAACATTGGTCCCTTGTGTCTACACCGCATGGACCCAGGCAGCTGCAGGCTCTTCCCACAGCAAGCAGAGGCAGGGGTGGGCAGGTGAGCTAGAGAACAGACGGGGCTCTCTGTAGCATACACAGCCAGTCTCCACCATGCTGAGCAGCTCCCAGGTGAGTCTTCTGATGACTGCTGAGATGTGACTTGCGGCGAAAGGCTTTCCCACACCTGCTGCACTTGTACGGCCTCTCCCCAGTGTGTGTTCTCTGATGCACGTGGAGGTAGGACTTCATGCGAAAAGCTTTCCCACACTGAGCACACACGTGGGGCTTCTCGCCAGTGTGAATCCGCAGGTGTTTGGTGAGATCCAACTTATGAAAGTAGGCTTTCCCACACTGGGCACATGTGTGGGGCTTCTCCCCGGTATGCATGCTCTGGTGCCTCCGGAGGTGGGTCTTCTGGGAAAAGGCCTTTCCACACTCACTGCATTTGAAGGGTTTCTCCCCCGTGTGAGTCCTGTGATGCATGACGAGACCCGACTTCAGGAAAAACGTCTTTCCACACTGGTCACACTCATGGGGCTTTCCTTCTGTGTGAGTCCTCTGGTGCAGAGTGAGGCCTGCCTTCTGACAGAAGGTCTTCTTGCACTGTGCACACTCGTAGGGCTTCTCTCCCGTGTGAATCCTCTGATGGATGGTAAGGGCCGACTTCCGGCAGAAGGCTTTTCCACACTGGTCACACTCGTGGGGCTTTTCTTCTGTGTGAGTCCTTTGATGTAAGCTGAGGACTGACTTCTGACAGAAGGCTTTCTTGCACACCTCACACTCATAGGGCTTCTCTCCTGTGTGAATCCTGCGATGGATGATGAGCGCCGACTTCCTTCGGAAGGCCTTCCCACATTCACAGCATTCATAGGGCCTCTCCCCAGTGTGGATCCTCTGGTGCGTAATGAGGGCCGAACGATGGCAGAAGGACTTGTCACAGCTGCTGCATGTGTAGGGCCTCTCCCCAGTGTGTGTTCTCTGGTGGTCTCTAAGAACAGATCTAACAAAGAAGGACTTGTCACATCTGCTGCACTTGTAGGGCTTCTCTCCTGTGTGCTTTTTCTGATGGTCAGCAAGGGCAGATGCTCTGGAGTAAGTCTTGCCACACAGACCACATGTGAAGGGTTTCCTCCCTGCCTGGGGAGACACACAGCTGTTCCCACACTCACTGTGCATACAGGTCCCTGCCATGCTGCCCCTCTCTGTGCTGAGGGCACTCCCTTGTCCCCCACCTTCCAGATGCTGCTGCCCAGCCTGGGCCTTGTGGCTCTGACTGAGGAGTTCACTGTGTGTGAGGGCCTTCCAGGGCACCTCGTGGGCACCAGGCTTCTCTGCTGCACATCTCACAACAGGCCCTCCAGGGAAAGGCATGAGTTGGTACACATCCAACTCCTGAGGTCTCATTACTGAAGAATTCCCATTATTTACTATCAGATTTGAAATACATTTTGAACTCAAATGAAATGCCTTTCCTAATTCAAGTCTCTCCATAGCTGATATGCTGCTGTTGACAACAACTTGCCACAAGTGTCTACCGTGATTTTCTTGGCTGTTCTCAACCACATCATCAGCTATCTGCACATCTGAAATGAAAAAAATAAGAAATAAACAAACACTCCCATGAACCACACGTCAGCACCCTTTATAGAATGCTCATATAAATGTAAAGAAGTTTCTTCCTATCACAGCAGCATAAGATTTTATAGGAGTCAATAAATACTGGCTTTATAAGTGTATGGTTTTTCTTTTTGACAGTGAAATGTTACATTAATTGATTTTCTAGTGCTAAATTGCTTTTCATTGATTCACTTTTTTCTTTTTTATATTGTGAAGAATTTTTTGGTAAAAATATATCCTTAGTGGCTGGTTGCAATTTTAAACTAAGTGATAACTATTGGCCATTTATTTTCTCAATTCCTCCCTCTATTTTATTAACAATGGTGGGTATCTCCTGCTGGCATTCATACCAGTTCTGTTTTGAAGACTGGAAAGACTTTATGGATCGGCTACCTGCAGGTGCAGGAAGGTCATTTGTCTGGAAGGAATATGGCTTAGGGATGGGAACCATATGTGTTTATTTAGTTTTCACAACTCCCGGGGAAGTGGCTAGAGGCTTTTAGGGGATTTCAAACTAAAAGAAAAACCTCCTCTTCCCCATGTTGAACCAGGATAGCTTCCTGCAAATTCCTAATTGAACCCAGTTCCCTGTGCTCCTCTGAACCAGGCCTGAGGAACTGTAACCTCGACCTGGACAACCCTCCTGGCCAGAGGTTCTAGCTCTGTACCACCTCTGCGGCCAGCAGCCCTGGAGTACCATTTCCCAGGTCCAGCACATGGCCCTGCTTGGTAATGCTCTGCTCTGTACTGTGTTGGTGTTTAGCTACCTCCCAGTGTCATAGAAAATGGAATCTCCTGTTCATTTCTCATTCTGTTATTTTAGAATGATTTCCACAAATGGAAGGCAGAAATGCTGAATTCAAGATCCATGCCCCCACAAGTCTGAGCACTGCAACACACACTGGTTCATTTGGTCCTGGGAACCAGAACCTCCTGGTCCCTTCCAAGTCCAGGACCTCCCTTATCATGCTCCTATGCCAGGTCTTCCTTGGCTTCCTGATTTCCAACATTGTGGTACATGAGATTCACTCTTGGACCTTTCTTCTCATTTTCTTATCAATTGTAAAGATGACTTACTCAATAAAAATGACTTAATTAACAGCTTTAAACCACTGATTTCTAAATCTGTATCTCTAAGTCGTCCCACTCTTGAATCTAGATTTTACATTTCCTATAGACTATATGTCAACATTGGAAAAGCAGCTACTCAAACTGCAGCTATGCCAAAGCAGACTCCTAACATCCCCTGATATCACCTTCTCTGACCCCCTTCTTGAACCATCACACGACACTTCTCTCTCTCTCACTGATTAAATACGCCTCGTAGTTCTAATCCAACAACCTATAATATCATTCTCATTTCCCTCTCATCAGACTGTAAACTATAAGAAAAAAAGGCATCACTTTGAGCACTGTGGTATTATGTACAACTATAATATTATCAAGCTTAAAATCTGCTCAATTAAGATATGCAGAAAGTGGCAGCCATTATGAAGTCAAACAACAATAAGTGCTGGCGAGGATGCGGGGAAAAAGGTACACTCATACATTGCTGGTGGGACTGCAAATTGGTGCAGCCAATTTGGAAAGCAGTATGGAGATTCCTTGGAAAGCTGGGAATRGAACCACCWTTTGACYCAGCTATTCCCCTTCTTGGACTATACCCAAAAGACCTAAGAAGAGCATACTACAGGGACACAGCCACATCAATGTTTATAGCAGCACAATTCACAATAGCTAGAATGTGGAACCAACCTAGATGCCCTTCAATAGATGAATGGATTAAAAATGTGGCATTTATACACAATGGAATATTACTCAGCACTAAAAAAAAATAAAATCATGGCATTTGCAGGCAAATGGATGGCATTAGAGCAGATTATGCTAAGTGAAGTTAGCCAATCCCTAAAAAACAAATGCCAAATGGGAGAGGAGGGGAGGAGTAGGAAGGATAGGAAGGGCAGCAGAATAGACAATATGATTGATGTATGTACATTCCATGTATGTATTATATATCAAAATGCATTCTACTGTCATGTATGACTAAAAAAAAATAAATAAAAATTTTTTAAAAAGATACACAGAAAGGATAAATGAACATATGAACTAACATCTGAACAAAGTCCACAGTGTGGAGAAAGCAGGGCAATGAGGACACTGGAAATGTGGGTAGCAAAAGCAGCCACAGGGAAGGTGGGCTTAAGCTAGCACCAGTGGACGGAGAACTCAGCACAGCAGGGGCATGTGAGCCACAGCCTCCCTGAGCTGACAAGGTGTGAGGGTGCAGGGCAAAGCCGACTTCTGCCCTGCTTGTTCCTCCTGGCCTCCCATGCCCAGCACACAGACTGACCTGGAAGGCACCGGTCCAGGGCTTCTTTAACCAGCCATGGCTCTGTTCCTTGCTCCAACTTGAAAATAACTTCAGGTCTGGTAATGAAAAGCCCTGTTAATGAGAAATAATGCAGAACTTTGGAGAATGACAGCAGCCCACCTAGAAGTTGGGCAATAAAGGGGCCCGCAGGAACCTTTGGCTACAGAGGGGTAATGAGTTATTCACGGACTCGAGTTTTCAACCTAAATGGCATGAAATGTTACAAATGGTGCCTACATTTATCACCAAGGAACAAAGTGTTCCTTCTGCGAGTTACTAGGGCATTTCACTCACCCAAGAACACCAGGCTGCTGTAGGTCTCCAGCATCACGTCCCTGTAGAGGGTCCTCTGAGCATCGTCCAGGTCCTGCCACTCCTCCCAGGTGAAGTCCACAGACACATCCTCAAAGGACACCATCCCCTGTAATGAACATGTCTCCTCAGCCCAAGCCCTCCACCCTGGGCACAAAAACAAGAATCTGGACATTAACTCCTGTGTGTGTGTGTGTGTGTGTCCGTGTCCAAATATCTCATGTAAAATTACGAGTTTGCTTTGTACTTTACATCAAGGGAGAAAGGAAAATCAGAAAAATTCTGCCACTATAATTATTAAATTATTGTAAAGACTTTCACAAAGTTTACCTTATAGACCTAAAACCATCCTTGTTAGTAGAAATAAACATGACTAAAATCCTGCTGCTCCACGGACCATGTGATCTGGCATGAAGACATAGTATAAACACCAGGAAGACGGTGTCTAACACACTAATCTGGACCCAACTTCTATACAGGCTGGGGTGAGACAGGAGAAAGGACAGCCCTGTTGTGTGCCGTAACATGCACCTCACTGGAAAAGAAGAGGTGCCATGTTCTTCAGATCATGAAGTCCCCACTCCAGTCCAGCCGCAGCACCACACAACACGTGCTAGGCAAACACACCAGGACTGCGTGCACCTCGGAACTCCCCAGCTTCCACTGTGGGGCAGACCAGAGCACTCTTCTTCCTAACATGCTGGTCCCCAGAAAGCCACTCAGGCAGAGCCTGACTTGATGTGCTGTGTCAGAGCTTAAGCTTGAGTTACTTGGGTGGAGGGGATGCCCAGCTTCAGCCCATACCAGCCATCCCCAGAGGAGGAGAGAAACGCCCAAATCCAGTCCACTCTGGCCATCTGGACTCACCACAGGGGAGGAAAACTCAATAACAACAGGGAACACATATGAAACCCCCACCCAGAGGCAGAAGCTCCACAGAAGGACTTACAGAACTGAGGCCCATGTCCCCTGGGGGAGGGGGAGGGGTCTTCCCAACACCTGCACACTGAAGCCTCACACCAATGCATCAGAACAAAAGCTGGTGCCTTTGGGACATGACTGGTCCTGTGTGGAAGGAGCTCAGAAGTGGGACTACCCCCTAAACACGGGAGAAAGAAGGGAAGGGGGCTTCTTCGCACATCTCACCATGTGAGGACACAGAACAGGCCCCACTTAGGAAGGACAGACCTCACCAGACACCTGATCTTAACTTTCCAGCCACTGAAACTATGAGCAATGCATTTCTGCTTCTTACAAGGCACCCAGTACAAGATGTTTTGTATATCAGGCGAATAAACTAAGACCGCTTCCAGCACGCCTATGCTTTCCAGTTCATTTACCCAGCACATCATGTGTGCCTAGGAAGAAGGAAAACCACACTGCAGAGCAAAGGTGAAACTACAACATGAGGTGAAAGAACAGGCATCAGACAGATATGGCCAATACGTTGGAGTTCTCAAACAAGCAATGTCAAACTGAGTAATATGCTAAAACAGTACTCAAAAAAATAAAAACATAGCCAGACACAGTGGTGCATGCCTGTGATCCCTGTAGCCCAGGAGGCTGAGGCAGGAGGGTCACAAGGTCAAAGCAAGCCTCAGCAACTCAGACCCTGAGCAACTCAGTGAGACCCTGTCTCTAAATAAAACAACAGGGCTGGGGTTGTGGCTCAGAGGTAGAGCACTTGTCTAGCATGTGTGTGGCCCTGGGTTCAATCCTCAGCACCACATAAAAATAAATAAGTAAAATAAACGTATTGTGTTTAACTACAAGTAAAAAATAAATATTAAAATAAAAAAACAAAAAAATGGGCTGGGGATGTGGCTCAGTGGTTCAATCCCTAGCAACAAAATTGAAAAAAAATGAAAAAAAAGTTATGAATAAAGCCAGTAAGAAGAAATCTGCCTATAGAAGAACAAAGATGAAAAGGACACCCAACCTCTCCACAAAAGTCACACAAATGAGAGGGGACACCTGAGAGGATTTTCTGCCTTGTGGGGACAAGGGCATGGAGTACTGCACACATGGCATGTTAAGGGCGCCTGAGTGGCAAACCACTCCCCCATGCTAGGCATGTGAGTGGCAAACCACCTATCCTGTAAGCACAGCCCTAGGCATGAGGCCATGTGTTGCAGTCGCTGCACTTGCTCCATAGCCCACTCCTCAATTGGTGGCTGCAAGGACAGTTAGCAGACATTGCATTGGTGGCTGCCTGTAATCCGCTTAGCTACTGCCTGAGTATATATATGGTAACTGCACACTAAAAATCAGACCTGCTTCCTGCTTGGTCTCGGAGGACTTGTCCTGTTCTGTGGGACCTCCTCGCTGGATGAGAGAGCCCACATAGCAGGCGCCCGAGCAGGGACCTGAGGTAAGCCTATAAGACAGGGTGTGGCCCCTCACAGAGCAGTGAAGAAGGGAAAATGGGGAACCTACTGAGTTCCACCACAGACTCACAGCTGCAAGTGCTGCACACTCTCTTAGATACTAGAGGTTTAACCCTGAAGAAGAGAGAAGCCCAGTTCTGAGATGTAATAATAATAATAAACACTAACCCACGGATCAATACTGCTGATGATTTTGATCCTAGGATATGGGACAAGATAATGTCAAATGAGCAGCAAGCTGAAGTGAGACAGGGGTATAATTTATCACTACATTTTTTCCTATTGTGATAGCCATTCAGCAAAGTTTAGGGGGCCCTGCAATAGACCCTTGTCATATAATGATGGCCCTGAGAGAAGATGAGGCTGTGAAAGACAGACGGGAGAAAAGGGTGGGGGAGAATTCTACCTCAAAAGCAACCGAAGCAGGTGTAGGAGGGAAAAAGGCAGGAAATGGTACCTCTAGCCTTCATGTGCAGGAAGAGGTGACCACAAGTGGTGCAGGTGCGCCTTCTACTGACAGGCAAAGGTGATATCCTTCCCTGAGTCAATGGCAACTGCCTCCTTATGAGGCAATGCCAAAGCCAGCAAAGGACTATGACAGTTTGGAAATGACCAGGCCACTGGATAGGCCCACGCCATGGACTCCCAGAAACCCATTCCAGGAGGCAGAGATCCTTTTGAAGGTCTATGTAGGATAAGAGATTAGAAGTGGGGTGAGGAGTACAAGCCTTCCCAGTCAACACGGTCCCCACACCAGAACACCTTGCAGAGCAAAGGCTTGAATCCCTCAGTCTTGAACCAAATTGCCCTCAGGACTGGAGAGACCTAGCCAGAGCAGCTCTTGAGCCTGCAACATTTTTGAAGTGAAAGGCATTATCCTGTGATGAATGTAAACAGCAGGGGGATCCTAACCACACCACAAATGTTAGCCTCCCAGCTGAGTGCTTGCAGGGAAAAGGAATCTACAGTTCCCTTGCGGTATAAACCACAGGCCCACCAAATTATTTCCATCAGGTGCAGCTCTGTACTCTGAGAGCCTGGAGGAAGCTGCCAGCTGGGGGAGGGACAGTTTCCATACAGGGCTTAAGGCAGAAGGCCACTGAGACTTACCACAGTTTACTGACAGGGTAAACAAGGTGGTAGAAGGGAAGGTGTCTCATGAAGGAGCCAGGGTGGCTTTAGCCAAGGAGTTGATCTGGGATGGACTAAATAAGGAACACAGAGCAGCAGTGGCGCCAGTTTGAAATGGCACACTGGATGAGTGGACTTTGGCCCCCCAGGATATAGGGACACAAGCAATTCAAGCCTCTCTGCAGCCCTCAGTGATGGCAGCTGCATAAAAGCAGGACTAAGGAGGCTTGCAGACAGCTAGTCAGAGACTGCAAAAAATGTGCACCTTTTCTCCCCATTGGCCCTGCACAACTTGCTGGAGTAAATCCCCGAGTTACAATCCAATGCTTTATGGCAAATGGATGTCACTCATTATTATGTACCTTTTGAAAATTTAACATATATTTATATACTCACTGATACCAACTCAGGCTGTGTAATGGCCACAGCCCCCAAAGGAGAAACCACAAAAATAGGCCATCTCCCATCTACTTAAATGTTTTGGAATTACAAATGTTCCCATGTCTATTAAAACTGACAATGGGCCAATCTATACTAGTAAGACATTTCAAGTGATTTGTAATGATTGGCATATACAGCACTTAACTGGGATCCCCTACAACCCTTAGACTCAAGGCAACATAGAAAGAACACACAAGGAATTAAAGACCATGCTACAAAACAGGAGGGAAACTATACCAAGTCCCCTCTTGATGCCTTGAACAAAAACTTATTTGCTTTTATTTTTCTTTCAATGTCAAAATCTTCTATGGAAACAGCAGCCTATAAGCATTGGGCCCCCCTCTTGGGGCCCTCCCATCTCCCTATGATCTCATGGAAGGATCCCATAACAAATGTATGGGATGGTCTGAGGCCCTTCCTAACCACGGGTCAGGGGTTTGCATAGGTTAAGAGGAGCCTCACCCCATCTGAATGCCTGCCAGAAAGTCAAGCCCTGGACCCCCAGAACCACCAACCAATAAGATGAAGGAACCAACTCTGGAGGAGAAACCTCACAAGCAAAGGATTCAACAACACAAACAGACCTCATGTAGAGAAACCTGGGGTGATAAAGGTCTTTTTGAATAAGCCACCAGATTGGCCCCTTTGCCTGGTGGCAATCCCATCCCTGGGCCTATGACGATGGTCCTAGTGTGTGCAATACTCACTGCTAATAGTGAAGCCTCCCATGAAGTAAACTGAGCTTTGGTCACTAGGCCATCACTTTTAGCAGTTGCTAATTGGGAAGGGGCTTTACCTAAGCGCTTTTCCAATAAGTCCAACCTTACTGATCCTGAGTTATCCATTGGGTAACTGTACCTGAAATACCAGCATTTCCATACCTACCCTGCCCATTTGTTTCTCCATAGTTGATAATAATGAGACCTACAATCAGGACAATCCCCTTTGTTTTGCTCTTGCCAGAGAAACTATTGTAGATAACTATAATAAGTCATGTGTTGGGCTGTCTCTCACTGGCCTTAGAAGTATAGTTAATGCTACCTGTAACCATAGACTTTCCCATGACAAATGCAAGAAACCCTTGCTGCCAACATGCCCAATAACGCTTTTGGAAAGCTCCCCTCAGATAATGGTAGCATCCCATGGAATA